TAACCTATGCCATACGTTTTCTGTAATAATTTATGTCAACTACTGAAGGAGATATCCATGAACTAGCATACATTCGCTAATGTAATCTCTTTGCTATTCTATCTTTTGCGTGGGAAAGTTGGAGGAAAACTAAGGCAATTTATGAGACAAGAATTAAACTAGCCATTTATGTTCAACACTATGAAAAGACTCATTAGGAATGTATTCTGCTGCAATGTGGTCGTTATTTTTCGCATAGATATCATAATCCAGCAATTTAAGCATTTTAATAACTGAAGCATCATTTAGAAATTGTAATCTGTCGTTGTTTTCAATTTCATGCGTAAATTAAATGGAAGGAAAACGATTATTTAACTTAGAGATAAAATTATCTATGGTGTCAGAATTTGTGTCAAAAATGGCAAATATTTCATCCACATACCTAAACCTTACTCTTGGAAAATACTCTTACTGATTCTTAGCCTCCAATTCAACTGATTCTTAGCCTCCACTCAAACCTGCTCATGAATAGATTAGCCAAAAATGGAGACAATGGTACAATGGATTACCCATTGTGATCCATTACCCGCTTTTCAAAAAAAGTTTTATAATTGAAAGATAATTTGTTTCTCAACGAATTGTGTAAGCTCTATATATTCACTCACAGTTTGTTGTCGAGACCATTTGCCTTCAGTAATTCCTTCAATGTAGCCTAAAGTATGTGGAATTGGAAAACTTGGGAACAACGAAGATACACGAAAGGAGACCAAAATTTCACCTTCATGCAATGATCTTTAATTTTGTTAATGAATTCTCAATATTATGTCTTTAAGCGTGCGAAAGCAAGACGTTCATGATCAGGATAAATTTTCGAACTCCCTTGTTAACCATTTTGCCAAATTAAAAGTCGGAGAACCTACAGCCAGCATCAATTGGGCGCACTTAGAGCTTGTGCCGGTTTAGAAATTTTTTCTAGAAAAATTGAAATTTCTTAATCTTTAATAGTTGAAATTCATAAAATATATTTTTTTTTTTTTTTAATTTAACTAAAAATCTTAACACTATATTTCTTTTTGAATCCCCTTGAATTTCATACAGTTGGTATTCCAACTTCAAAAACATGTTGTACTACTGCAATTCTTCTTAACACACTGCACAATTTAAACGTATTATGTTTAACAAATAAATATTTCAAAAAATTTTTTTTGTTTATTTATTATAACAATATATAAAAAAGTTATAAAATTTTACGCCGAATCTAAAAATAAAATAAAAAATAGGTTGCACTTTTAAAAAACATATGTTTTTTTTTTTTTTTTTTTTTTATTTTTCTCATGACTGATAATACTACTTAATAATTTTAAATGTTATAAAAAAAACAAAGAAAAAAAAAAATTACATTTTTTTGTAACCTCGAAACAACATGAAAATAATGAGCTTTACTCTATCGTTGACTCACCCTGTCTGTGACAATAAAAAGTATGGAACTGATTCGGAACGGAAGCTTACGTTATAGCGGTTCGAATACAATAAAAAATACGGTACGGATATGGAGACTGGATATGTAATGGAAACGGAAGGTTATAGTGTAATCAACTTTTATACTTCTCCAAGTTTCCATACCCATTTTAAGAAGAAAAAATAAACAAAAAAATGTTTTAAATAAATGTTTTTCAAAATATGAATTTTTCCTTAATCCTAAAACTCAAAACGCGGGGCTAAGGTATAAATAATTTCTTTTTCATTCTTTGAATAATTTTTGTAACGAGATATTTTTTCTTGTTTTAAAAGTTACAAGAGCCACAAAATTATTTAGTTTCAATCGTGTTCAATCCTACGGAAAGGGTGATAATAGCTCTGATAATAGATTATATAGTGTTCGAATACGCTGACACGTTTTAACAACATACAAAAATATGAACGTTAAAAAATTTCAATAAAAAAAAAAAAAAAAAAAAAAAAAAAAAAAAAAAAAAAAAAAAAAAAAAAAAAAAAGAATCAAAAATATATTGCGCTAGAAACGTTTCAACTTTAAGAAAAATTCAACTACACATTTTGCATGTTATTTTCTTTAATTTTTTAAATGAATTTTTACTTTATACGTTTTTACTAAACCATTTATATTTCGGTAGAAAATCATCTTTGTTTTATACAATGCGATTTTCTCAAAATGTCGACAAGAAAAAAAAGTCTTTTTTCTCTTGAAAAAAATCCGACACTACTGTAGAAATATTGAAAAAAGGATGAGCGTATTCGAGAAGCACAAGTCTATTTCAAAAAAATAATTTCGAATTTAAAATCACATTTAAAAGTCATTCTACTCACCATATAAAAAATAACCTTCTGACAACCTCTTCGAAGACCACACTGGCAGTAACCGCCATTAAAAAATATAAAGAAGAATACGCGGCCAAGCCATCGAATGACGTCTAGACTTGACTTCCGCCAAAAGTCATCAACGATTATTCCCGAGCCGTCTTTGACGCCTTTTTTTTTTTTTTTTTTTTTTATCTTTTGGTATTCCATCTAATACATTATTTTCTGTAACTACTACAATATTGTGAGATCAACTTGAAAAAAACCAAGTTTATCTGCTAAATTAATGAGTACAAATGTAAAAACAAGTATTATTTTTATTAATAAAAGTATTAATTAACTTCAAAATTCTTTGATCAACCAAGAGAACCTTTTTTGGTCAAACTCGAATTCAGTTGAAGATAACTTACTTGTTGTCTTTGTTTATGACAAATATAAAGAAATTGGGAGTCAAAAAGGATTCAATACTCCATACAAACGTGGTATAATTTACTCTGTTTTATTTTTGCATTGAAAATAGAATAAAGGTGTTTTAAAATAGGAATTTGATTCCTATCTTTTCTAGTTTGCCAGACCTCTCCACTATACGTTTGGAAAGTTGTTATTAAACTATATACTTTTTTGAATAACTATTTTACAAGGACAGGTGCATCAGGTAATAAGAAGTTATGCATAATAATTGAAAGTGATTTTATAACAGGATAATAAATAATAGAAGCCCTAACAAAACAAGGCATAGACAAGCCTTGCTAGAACTTTTCTAAGTATACACAAACAGCCAAACTAGGAAGTACTATTTACTATAATACACGAAAAAATATAAACATATATTAGCCTATATAGTCGTCCCACAGAAGAAGAAACCTCAAAAACATTGATACAGTGTCGGTCATTTTAATTCAAAGTTAAATTAAATCTCTTGATATTTTGCGTGTCGATTTTCGAAGGTCTTTCTGACTCTTACAAAGAATATCAGCTTCTCAATATCACTGGTCATCAATAAGATTTAACAATTTAATTAAAAACTACCCAAACAATAAATTGTAGATTTTTAAGTTTCGGGTCACCGTTATTTCCGCTGCTCTGTACGTAGACAACCAGGAATAAAAATAAATTATTCATTTGGGTATAGCGCAAATCTGGATGAAATAAACTCCATTTCTCCCCATAGCGCCAGCTACGGCCTGTTGACACGCGTTTTAAATACTTTATAAGTCTTATTAGGCTGCGATGAATAATAGAGAAAATAGACAGCGACACCTCTTTGTCAGGGAAAACAGGATTCGTTCGATTAAACACGGCTTTTAAATTTCAAAGACGATGTATTATTATACAGTATAAATAATGATTTTCAAAACGAACTGCTAAAATCCATTTAGAGTTATTAATTGTCTATGTATATTATTAAACAAGGTGCATTCCAGACAGATAAATCCCAAATATTTTAACTGGTCAGTATAGTGCGTCAACTTCCTAGAAACCCGCCCATGAGGTTTTTTTCGCAAAAACAAAATTTAAAAAAAAAAAAAAAAATTTTGTTAAAATTTTTTGGAAATTTTTTTGTTTTATTTACAGAATAATTTTTTGATAATATGGCAACATACCGTAGTAGATTAGATTTCACAAGAAAGAAAATCCAGGAAAAATCCAGTGGTTCTCAAAATGATTGAGCAAAACATTTTTTTTGGGAAATTTTTTTTTTTATATTCTTTCAACTGTGCCGTTATTTTGGACTTATTTGAAAAACGAATTAAATGAGAGAAAATAGTAGTTCTGATTACGAGATTACCACGCCACTAAATACTTCCTTAGTTTCTGGGACACCCTGTATTATACAGGGTGAGTCGTAAAGTTGAGCCATAATATTATTCATAATATGGCAACATTAGGTAGTAAATTAAATTTACATGAAAGAAAATCCAAAAAAGATAGTGATTTTCAAAACTTAACCAAAAAAAAAATTTTCATAAATTTTTAAAGTCAAATAACTTGGTCATTTTGTAGTTACTTGAAAAACGGTAAAAAGAAAATACGTTTCTTTTGTCGAGATCTACCAGCCCTGAAAATATTTGCACTTATTTAAGATTTATCCTGTATAGTACACATTATAGCAAATAAAAAATTATCTTTTTATCAAGACGAGGAAACAGAAAATACTGAAAATAGTAAAATTATAATATACTAAAAACAGTTCAGAAGAATACAAAAGCCGGTATTACCCAAAAGCCGTTTATATCAGTCTATAATTTCAAAAACCACAAAAAATTCGAACAAATGCCAAACTAACTTCCGAAAATCTAGAAATTTGAAACAATCAGAAGGACAAAAGACGAAATTAAAAACTCCAAATATATTAGTATATTTGAAAAACTCAAATTAAAAAAGATGTAAGATTACTTATTGATCTCCCCTGTAGATCTAGGCGCGAACATGGCCGCCACAATGCCATAAAAATTTTTGGATACGCACCCTATATCTCTGCATTATTTACTCTTAATCATATACCAGTCGGATAGCTCTGACAGCTGTAGCTTTAAACCTAAACAATTACATGAATCATATACAGTTTATATGATCTCGTCTTTTCACTGAGGATAATACCTCATTAATAGGTCGGATAGTCCTAGTAGCTTAAGCCTCTAAATCATCTGAAAAAAATAGAAGAAGTACATGTCTCACTTCACAGTGGTAAATGTCACAAACGTCACAACTTATAAATTTGTCAACTAAACAAGAAAGTGTCAGAAAGACGCGAATTGCTGAGTTAGTTCGTTTTTTGCAAAAACGATGAGGTTGTAAGATGATGGGCGATCAGTTTCGGAAAGTAGAACAATATTCGCCAAAATCGTCTCCGAGGGGGGCCCGGTCTCCCGTTGTTTCTCGTCAAGATTCGTCCGGAACCCTCAAAACGACCATCTTGCTAGGAAAAAACCCCTCCATCGTCCCTAGTGGACCCTTTTACCTTCTAAAGGAGCCGCCAGGTAATTGTGACCCATATTCTACTTTGCCGAGATGACGATTTATCGTTTTTAACTTACAGGAGAATCGGGGATTACTGGCGCTACGAACTTAATGGCCTACTATGGACTCGAACATTCTTACAGTAAATTTAGCGGAAAGAAGTTAAAAGAACAGCTTTCTTCGTTCCTTCCCACACTCCCAGGAGTAATAGGTATGTCAGTATTAAGACCCCCATTTTTTCTTCTCAATATTAAGGGGTCGTCCTATGCTGGACACACTGTGACCTGTAAGGCCTCTGGTGTTTGTCCTTTTTCTACGTCTACACCCACTCTCCTGCCGCCTGTACCCTGCACTAACCTGTGCAGGTTCTAGATAGGATGGGAGCATAGATCCTTTGATCCTAGCCTTCCCAAACCAAACCCTCGCAGTGATATAGTGTGTGCTTCACTGTTTCAGAATCTTTATTGCAGTATGCAGCAAAGATATTGTTGATACAGGTTGAGCTTGTTCAGGTAGCACTTAACAGCCATATGTCAGAATGGTCTAATGTGATTGGTCGGGCTTAACAGTTGCTTGCTAGGGCTAGACACAAGTAATGTATTTTGAAATTGGACTAAAATACAATTGTTTTAGATTCCCCTGGTCAGAGTGATAATAGTTCACTGAGAAGCGTTATAGAAAAACCACCTGTTGGAGGTAAAGATTTATTACCATTAAGTAGTGCACAACTAGAAGGATTCAGATTACATCCTGGTCCAGTAAGTACCTTTTTTTACACTTTATTATACAGGATGACAAAGAGAACGGTAGTTTGTATTGAAATGAAATTTGGCAAGCTTATTTATGTTAATTTAGAGCATTCTTTGAAAATGCTCTAAACTATGCTACATATGCTCACAAAATTTTCAATACAAACTGTTGTTCTCTGTGGAGCGTCCGCGTCATATGAGAGGCGCCACCCTGTATTATTGAAATCCTAATAAATTCTCTTTGTAGTTACCTGAACAGTACCGATACGCCAACGCCACACCGATAAAGAAGCACAAAAACAAACATAAAAAGCACAAACACAAAGAGGGCGGACCTCCATCGACAGAAACTCCGATAACGGACGCGGGCGGCGATACCCACGAGAAGAAGCACAAAAAACAAAAGAGGCACGACGAGGACAAAGAGAGGAAGAAGAGGAAAAAGGAGAAGAAAAGAAAGAAACAGAAACACAGTCCGGAGCACAGTGGGGGCGGGCTAACTCCCAGCCAACACTCGAGTTAAATTCAACAAGAAACTGTGTAAAAAATAAGTTATTAAGTGCAAGGGACTGAAAGTTACTTGAAAAAAAGTGAGGTGTCAAAGTGGGTTAAGCTTAATATTGATCCTAAACAGTAATATTATCGATATATGGTATGTCTTTACAAGAGGAAAATCTTTTTTATTATTAACTTCCTGGAAAAATGCATTCTCCATAAAAAAAAGTTCCTTGTTCTAAAATGGTTAATCCCGTTTATAATTCTTCAAATTTCCATATAATTTTAGAGAAAAATAAAAAAAATAACATAATACAGTTGGGAGTCCTAAAAATAAAAGCATTTCTGTGGTAATATAACTTCATTTTTATTGGATAGATGGTTTTTAACCAGTAGCCTATGACTTTAAACATCAAGCGATGTAAAACTATATCTGGCCATGTCATATTGCCATTAGATATCACTTAAATTAGAGATGTATTATTATTTATATAATTAAATTCACTTTATAAAGTTTTCGCAGCAGTATTTATAATATACAAAATTCAAATAATTAGTTTTTTGGCAAAAGGAAATAAACTGTCTGATGATTTGACATTTAATGTCAAAGGAAGCTAGATAAAATCAAGAAAAAATATGCTTTAAAACTAAATCTTAAATAACTAAAAAACGATTTATTTTAGGTATAGGAACATATAATCAAAAAGTAAAAAAAATCTTAAATAACTAAAAAACGATTTATTTTAGGTATAGGAACTTAATATAATCAAAAAGTAATAAATTGAAAAAACTTTTCACTCCTGAAATAAAAAAAGTGGGTTTCCATTTGAAAGAAATTAATTATGATAATTTTTTAATCTCTCAATTCCATGACAGCTACTGCCAATATTATATGACATAGAAACAATTTAATTTTTGAAATAGATAGCCACATGTCTTCTCTTTATGTCCCAGTGGCTGTGGTAATCACTAAATTTGACGTTTAGGCTATACAATTTTTTTTTACAGGGAGTTTTTTTTCCAAAGATTTTAAATATTTTTTTTCTCAAACGGTTAATGTTAAGTATAGAGTATTTGATATCAAAATTCATATAATTTTACAGAGAATTTAAGTATATAAAATAACGGTATCCATTTAAAATAAGAAAGTTGCTGTCAACTTTGGGTATTTCTGGAAGTGCTGCCGCCAAATTGAAAATATTTTTGATCAATAGATCTCATTGTGAAACAATGATGAACAAAAAAACATCCTATCTAGATATTGTAGTTCTCTAGAAACTTCTAAGGCGCGCTCAGGCTGGGACATCCTGTATAGCGTCAAAGTTATACTATAAATAAAAAACAGCAGGCAAGTCAAGCCAAAAAATGGTAAGGAAATTTGGGATAGTATAAAGGGGATTAATCATTTTAGAAGAAGCAAAAAATTTTATGAATAATGTATTTTTCTCACAAATTAATAAAATTTTTCATTTTCTTAAAGACAAGTTCGGGAACATACTTTCATACACCTCACCCTAGACAGGGTGGCACTTTTCATTGCACAAAGACTCTCTAAGAAAGTTTATTTGCAAAAATTTATACAGGGTGTGTCAAAAAGCTCACCTTAAACGGGAATATTTTTTGTCACAAAACTCGTTTTTTTTTTCATATTGAAAGAATTTTGTGATTTCCTCCAATGATAGTTGTTCTTTGATGTGTCAAAATTGTATTTTTGTTATTGGACATACTGAATTAATTCCATATAAATTTCTTTTAAAAAATCAGTTAACAATTTTCCCCTTTGTTGTCAATTTTTTGGTACACCCTGTATGATGAGGCCACCCTTGTATTTTAGAGTAACAAAACAGAAAAGAAACTAATTTTTAAGAGATCTCTGTAAAATTTACATCAATAAAATATTTGTAATATATTAAGTTCAAACAAAATACGTGTTTTATTTTATGATTTTATTTAGTTACACTTAATTATACTGAGTAACAAAAAAAAGGAAAACACATAGACCCACATCACAGATTATACACTTTGTTTTTTTTTATTGTTTTTCGTGTTAATCGGTGAAAACCCCTTATTCGATATTATTTTGAACAAATAAGTGGAGAAAAATACGTCAGAATTTGATATGTTGACATGCGAAACGGTCCTCGATGCATTGTTGGGATGCGTAACCAAGGTAGCAGAAGCGCAAACTGAACATTACTTACGAGCCGTCATTTTGAAATGTCTTTAAATTTTATTTACCGCTATAGTGAAAATTAATTGTTTGTAAAAAAAATGTTGTCCGAAAATGTTAAATTTTATGTTAATAAAATTCTTATAGTTATTTGCTTCATTCTAAGTCATTCAGGAAATAATCAAGCCGTATACCACTCAACCTATAAATTTAATTGATTAAACTACCCAAATAATTTTTTGCATGATTTTGCTTTTTAGAAAACAGTTTCATGCACAATAATTTTAAAATAAAAACCCTCGACCGCTTCGCGGTCTCTGGTTTTTATTAAATTATTGTGCCATTCAACTATTTTCCAAGCAAAATCACGCACAAAATATATTTGAATAGTTTAATCGATTAAATTTATAGGTCTCGTGATATAATATATGATTATACAACTCGATGTATATTTTTCCTATATAGAAGGCTGTGATTAATAAGTGATAATCATTTAAGTGATTATTGCAATTTGTAATAATCACTTAAATGATTTACTGTATTGTTGATTACTTTACTTTATTGTAATTGTCATTTTTTGAAATATTGATTCAGAAGTCATTTCTGTCAGTTCCACAAAATATCCCGTCAATTCTTATTACAAGATGGCAAAAGAAAGATTTGGTAAAATTTTTTAATAATTATTATAAAGAAAAAAATTATTATAATAAAAATGTTTCAGAGAAGGATATAATACTTTATTTCGTTGTATAATCTTTTGAATGAATACAACTCGATGTTTCGGGATAACCTAGTACTTTTGTCTGACACTCAATGCGATACCGGCAAAACTACTCCTTCTTCGGAGTCGGTAGTCGGTAGTGTTGCCGGGTAACGCATTTCGTGTCAGGTAAAAGTATTATTCGGTAATCCCGAAACATCTTGTGGTATTACATTCGATAACAATACTTGTTGGGGACCAGTAAAACTCAATAATTCGTTAAAAATTATGTATTAAACGTACTATTATTTAATTAACGTAAAAGGGTTAACAGGTTAACACGTTTCACTGACAATATGAGGAATCGCATCTTTTTTAGACTGAAAAACCTGTAAATAAGTGTTTATTTACTTCCCTTTTTTGTCACTCAGTATATACTAATTTCATTGTACACTACATAAAAAAAGGTTTTAAAAAATAACCTAAAATCTACATTTTTTACAACAAAATGACAACTTAAAAAAGCAATCCATTTTAAGTTGCCTAAAATAGGAATGTATAATTTTATTCACACTTGATTTTTCTTCACGAATTGTTTCTCATTTGTACCACTTTCCATGTATATTTCATTATCTATATACGATATTTCCATATCTGGCTCTTCCTTCTTTTGAATGTCTAACACTGCACTCTTGTTCGCGTGTCTTCCGCGGAAATGCGTCATCAGATGTTTCTTCATAGCCGACGTCGATATAAAGCCTTTTTTGCATTCCGGGCACGTGCTTGGTCTTTCACCCGTGTGTATCATTTCGTGGCCTCTTAATGTGCTGGCGTATGTAAAGGCTTTCGAGCAGAAACGACATTGATAGTTCTTTATACCTGATAATAAAAAGAAATGTTATTAAAGTAAATAGAAAATATTAAATTTAAATGTGTTTATTATTATATTTAATTTTATATTTCATATTTAAATGGCTCTATCAACTGTAAAATACCAGACAAAAAACATTAGGTGGCTTTCATAAAAAATTACAGTGGAAAAAACCATATGTAAAATAATAAATAATACCTTGAATATCTGTGAAACCGTTAAAAATGTTAAATTCTTTAAATACAAAAAATTTACATTTTTTAATTCTCAATCTAACAAAAAAAATAATATACAGGGTGTTGCATTTAAAAAATCGAAGAAAAATTATATTATGGTTTAGAAAGTTTGGAGTAAAATTTGGAACAGCCTGTATGATTTAGGATTACGATCTTTATAGCCATGTAAGTACAGACCAACTATAGTACATATTTAGTATAGTTTTTACTTCAGGACATTTCTTGTATTTTTAATATAATAATAATAATAGCTCCTGTATATAGCGTTTAACGCCTTGGGAGTAGCAAGGTTGGAGTAATTGTTTGGTATATGTTCAAGGAAGGTAATGTGGCTAGCACTACGCTTCAACCGCCTATTATTACCTCAGGATTGTGAGAATCCCAAGTACTTATTTAAGGCTGAGTCGACCTAGGTACCCAAACTATTTTTATTTCGTGAAAAATAGTCGGCTGATGAAATGCCGGCTGTAGGATTCGAACCCACAACCTTTAGATTGGTAGACGAGAGCTGTACTTCTACGCCACCAGGCACCATATTTTTAATAACTTTAAAAAAAGCTGAAAAATATATATTTTTTATATATTAATATCTCAGAAACTCTCAACACATATTTGATAATATCTTAGGATTATGTAAAGTGATCAGAAAAAAAAGCCAAAAATGCAATAATATACAGGGTGCTCCTTTAAAAAAATCCTCCTGTTCCACTCACACTTTTTTGAGCCACCCTGTAGAAGTTTAGAATTATATATTTTTCTGAAATACATCCTAGTACATACTTTAGGTCTGCGCTTAAACAAACAAGATTCTTAAGTTTTTTTAATTACAGGAGTTACACGACACAGGATGATGCCAGGAGGATGCCCGACGCACTGTTGCAGGTCCATGTATAAAGTTAAAATTTAATACAGTATATTAAGTTTTATTACCTAAATGAACAGCGAGATGCGTTTTTCGGTGTATCCATGTTTTGAAAGCCTTAGAACAGTAGTCGCACTTGTAAGGTCTCTCGTTTGTGTGTACTCTGATATGGTTATCCAATCTCTGTTTAATTTTAAAGGACTTTGAACAGTAGCTGCACTCAAATTCACCTAAAATATTGTTTTCAATGTTAATTTACACTAGAAGTATAACAATATATGAATGATGGCTGTACAACGTGTATAGTCTGTCCAATGACAAAATCCTTGACAGTAATAGATGGGTCTGTCATTTTAATTTCAAAGTAGTTTATTTTATTTTAAAAAGAAATAAGTTGATACATTTGGAACGCATGAGTGATTATTTCAAAATATTCCGAAAAAAGAGAAACATGACTGTCTCTGCAGTACTAAAAGTTATTATTTACTAGGGGATTCAATCCCGGACAATTTTATGTTGTCGGGATCCCGGGATTATTAACCCCGAATCTCGGGATCCCGGGATTTCAGTAATAATGTTACCAATGTTATTTTCAAAAAGAACATTTTATTAAAATTAACGTTAATTACTTAAAACAAAAACAAAGTCTTTGGAACACAAAAATAGGTAAATATTCTTCTTAAACAACATTAAACAAAAATTAAAAATCTCAAACAAAACAAAAAAGGAACTGGACTGATAATATTATTCCATATTTTTAAAAAAATAGCGCAAAAATATAATATTGTCTATTGTGTCATCTCCCATAGCAGAACGAAATTTTGTATCCATTTATTACGTATCCATTTCATTTTTTATTTTTGGGCTTCCAAGTTTTCAGTTTTTGTTACTGGTGGCACTTTCATTCGATTTGACATTTTTTGGTTAACGCTTCATCTAGCCTCTCCGAAAATGACACGTCATCATTTAAGGCCTGGTACCTGTTCTGAATAGTAGCAATTGGCAAATCTTCATCCGATTCCGAACTATCTGAAGAATCTAATATGATTTTACTTGTTATATCTAGTCGTTTTAAAAGGTTTGCTACTTCTTGTTTCAAAAGTTTTTTTATTATTCCGGGAATCACCGACGTATCGCTTGTCGGCGGCGCGCGGCGGGGGCGCTATCAGGAATTCAATTAAAAGAGAGTTTTTGCATATACAACCTTAAAAATAGCGTTTTACTATATTATATAAAATCCCGGGATCTGTTATTATTTTCCCGGGATTCCGGGATTGAAAAAATCCGATAAAAAACGTCGCGATCCCGGGATCCCGAAATCCCGGGACTGAATCCTATTATTTACCTATCGTGTATGATGTTATTTTACAGATACTCTACTTTTTGGTACCATATACGAGATGGTATACAAACTTTATTTGTGGCTAATACAATTCTCTGGGAAATTGTGTCTCTGGGCACCGAATATTGACTGCAAACTATGGTCTGGATCAACGCTTAATTTTCCCTCGAGTTTTCATCCACACAAGAAACACACGTAATAACAGTCCAAAATGCAAAATATTTATTATTTCTATTTGACATAATTTGACACAAAATTATAACCTATAATTTGGCTAGAGTTTGACAACTCTCAAAAATCGTAGGTCGAGTTCATACGCATCGGCGTCCGTTTGTCGTTCATCGCTCCGTCAAACCAATAATATTGAAATATGATCTGTCATTTTTTAAATAATCATCACGGATTTATATATAATATAAACACATCCATAGTTAACTTAAAAAAAAATTTAGTGAAATAAATGGATTGGTATGGACGTCATTTGCTTATTTTCTGACATCGTCTGTCGAAATCTTTTAGTTTTAACGGTATACTCTGTTTTTTCTCAGGTAAGATTTTTAAGGCAGACGACGCCCATACCAATCCATTTATTTTAGTAAAAAGTTTCTATTTTTTTAAGCTAACTATGGATGGGTTTATATGAAAGGTTCAGGGGAAAAAAACGATAATGTCATTTTACTAATTTTACCGGAGAGCACTGGACGGTTGGTGGTTATCAGGTTCTTTGCGTGTCACGCTTTTATCAAAGTTTAATAAAGATTTTTTCTTCAAATTATAGCCTATTTGTGTCAATTAATGTCAAATAACCAGTTCTTCAGTAAGATTCTGTAACTGCCCAAGGAAATTTCTTGCTAGTGACTCACACTTACTCGACTTTCTTATCAAAAATATTTAGTCCATTATACGACAATCATAATATAGGTACCAAAAATATAATAGAGTTTATTTGTTTCGACAAATGAAATTCTTGGTTATGGTCTGAATCGTTTTGTAAATAAAATTTAGAATGTAGGGACGGTG